GAGCACTGCAGCCCCCTGCCCAGGGGGTCCTCCAGCTCATACTCCTCCCCAGAGCCCAAGGACAGGCCTTGGGCAGTGTGATTTTGGACCTCCTCTCCTCCCGCTGGTGCCTCCCTTTCCCCAGAGAAAGACAGCACAGCTCCTCCGTATTGCTGCAGTTTCATAAAAACATACATAAATATATTTCCATTTCTTTAACAGAGAGCAAAGCTGCACAGGCACCTATAAAACACACAGTCACTTCTCCACCCGGCGCTCCCTGCACAGGTCGTAGAAAACATATAAAAGGGGGGTGGGTGGGAGAAAGAACAAGGCTGCAGGTGAAGCAGGGGTAACTGCCGTGCAGACCCTCGCCAGAGTGCAGGGAGCTGCTGGGGGGACCTGCTGGACCCCTGGCCTCAGAACTTGCGCCTTCTCCGGTGGCAGCCTTTGGTCGACTGCTGGCTGCCCAAGTGAAGAGCCACATGCGGCTCGGAGTCCACCATGCAGTCCGTGGCTTCTGAGGAGATGCTGGGTTTTGCAGGGGAGACGTCGAAAGGAAGGCGCCGAAGGGAGCTGTAGCTGTCTGCCACCGGCTCCCCGTCTCTGGCTGAGAGTGTGGGAGGGGACTGCTGGTCTCCTACTCCAGTGAGGGGGGTCCCCGCATCAGCACCTGCAACAAGAGCACACGTCAGCCCTGCCTGGCCACCCTCCGGCGTGAGCCATGGGCAAGGGAAGGAGGGTGCTGCTGAGAGCATTTCTCCCCATCTCCTCCTGTCCTTGGATCCACAAAGGGAAGCACCGGTGTGCAGGCAGGGACAGCAGCATGCTGCCACCCCCCCAGAAAGCTGGGCAACTCTTGGTGCAATGGTCCAAAGCACACCCCTACCCCTGCAAGGGCTCTGGGCACTGGCACAGGTCCATTGAGCACAGGCAGGGATGGGTGCAGCCAGCTGGGGCATGTCAACAGCCAGCTAAGCCCACAGCCTCCTGCTCTGCTCAAGAACAGACCCCTTCTTCAGGGGGAATTGGCCGGCCCAGCACAGCCTAGGCCGAGCCAGGACTGGAAGGGGAAAGCTGGGAAAGGGCAGCCCTGACCCAGCCAGGCAAGCACAGAAAGCAGCTTCCCACCTGCAGACTTGCTCTCCGAGAGCTCCAGCATCCTGAGGAGTCCCCTCTCCTGCCTTCCAACGTCCTGCCAAGGAGAGGAGAACCACCATCACACTGCCATCAGGAGACCCCATAGCCAGGGTGGCCCTGTGGCCACACTTTCCCTCATCCCACTGGGTCAGGCTGGGCACAAGAGGGAACACTGCATTTCCAAGAGCCTCCAGCTGAGCATGGCCAGCTGCCAAGAGGAAGGGCAATGCCCCCTGCCCAGCCTGACTGGTGCCCAAGCAGAGGCAGCTGAGAGAAGTTAATCAAGCAGATCCCAGTAAGGAGGGAGGCCATGGTGCAGGAAGCCACCCCCAAGGCCAGCCAGCGAGCACAGGGCTGTGACAGAGAAATTACATCCCCCAGCACTGTGCCTCTGAGGGCAGGCTCCGTCCTGCTCTGTCCAAAGGTACAGGGGGCTTGGTGCTGGAGGGAAGGGCCTTCTTCCAGAGCACAGACAGACGAGGAACACACATCTTGTGTCCCCTCTCAGCTCCTGGGAAGATGCAGCCGTGTTGGTCACCCAGGCTAAGGGAAGACCACTTAGCCTGGCTGCTTTGAGCTTTTCTGGCCCAGCAAAGTCCCCTCTCCCGGCTGCTCCCTACCCCCAGAACTGCTCTAGAAGGCACTGGCATCCCAGCTGCAGAGTGGAGCTGCAAAGCACCCCAAAACGGGCCGCGGCAGGAACCCGCAAGCCCAAGAGTGCCACTAGGAAGCTTTCCAACGGGCCAGCCCATGCTCAGGCATGACCTGCTCCCCCGGTGAGCTGCCACCTGAGCTGCCACCTCTGGACAAGGCAGGGCCAGAGGAAACACAAAGCCTTGCTGAGCCATCCCAAAGAGCCACCTGGCGCCAGCACCTTTCCCCCATGCCCTGTGTCTGCGCCTGCGTGCAGGACCCTGCACGCCAGCTGGCTGTGGGGCACAGGGACAGAGTCAAACAGTTCCCACGGAGCTTGTCACATGCAGGAGCAGCCGTGCCCTGCAGTACTCTGAACCACGCAGCACTTGGCTGTATCCCAGCCAAAATCATCAACCAGAAATCTCATCATTTGCATCTGAATCCCCAAGGGCTGAGGCCCGTGATGGATTTAAGGGATTATACGAAAACTAAGACATCATGTTGCATCTTCATGCTGAGAATCACATTTCTGAACGCAGGCAAAGCCGCAGCACTAGGGCTTTGCCTGCAGGAACCAGCGGGAAGGCCTGGGAGGACCCTCTCTGTGCTCCCCCAGGACTGCCACAAGCAGGAAGAAGTACAGTGGGGGCAAACACCTGGCGACTGACTGTGAGCCAGCTGCTACCCACGCTCCTGCCTCCCACCTCCTCTAGCAAGACACATCCCCCACACCCAGCACACCTCCACCACACTCGCTCCCCCACATTTCTCCTGCGATGCTGCGGTTTGCTCCCAGCACTGAGCGGTTCTCCCTGCTCTGGCTCTGAAGCCCTCCCCATGGGAAAGGGCTTGTGGATACAGTCAGATGTGCTTGTCACCCTGATACTATCCCTCCACTCCATCTATATTCAGCCGAGGAAGCCTGCAGGACTGAGGCACGCTGTCTGGCAGCGGGACAGCCCTGGCTGCCTGCCTGCTGGAGAGGTTACTGGCAGCTCTGCTGGATTAGCTCACCTCTGGGACTGGTCCATGCTCTTGCAGAGCGTCGTGGGAAGGAGGGCAACGAGTTCTCTGGCCACAGCGGCCCACAGGGACAGGCAATCCTACACCAGGTCAGCTCATCCCATCAACCAGGGCAACAGCTCCTGCTGCCAACCCAGCCCCAAACCCAGCGCAAAGCAAAGGAGATGGTCTGCAGGGTTGCCCCTCACCTTGGCGCTTCGCAGCCTCCTGGTTCCCTGAGCTTGCCTAGCAGCCTGAAGGCAGCTGTCCACGTGCCTCTGATACTGCAGCAGTGGCACCAGTGACTTACAGAGGTAGCACTTCTCACACCTGCCAGGCAGCAAAGGACAGAGCACTGCATTAGGATTCGCCCTGCACTGGGCTACCAGCCACCAGCAGTGACTTTCCTCCTCCAGGCCACGCCACGGAGAAGACATGTCACCAGATCGGGTCTCGCTCAGTAGGGTCAGGCAGGCACCAATCGCAAAGACTGAGTGATTATCAGTTTTTCCCGCCTGTTCCTCTGTATCCTGCTGCTGCAGCAGCGGGATGGTAATCAAATCTGCTCATCTAACTATCTCAAACACCACTGATTTCTCCCCAGACATAAAGCACCCTGTCAAAATCCACAGAAATGAAGTGCGAGGGCTTTGCAAAGGGGAGCTGAATTCTGCCTGAAAAGCAAACCAAGTGTGTTAAATCAGAGAGACATTTTACCAGGGCTGGATGAACTTGTCTGCCTAGTAAATCAAGTCTTTCTCTGCACTGTCTCTATTTTACATCATGCCACATTGGGAAAGGAATGCAGAGCACGCGCTCCTGCTGGGGGGCTGGCACAGTGTGCTCCTCAAACCCCCTCATTTGTGTAGAAGATGCCCAGGCTCACACAGGACAACCAAGCATGCCTGGAAAGAAAATTATCTTGGGTGAAAGGAGATGAAGGTCAGGCATGGATTTACACAGCTACACTTGCTTCCACACCAGCTCTCGTCAGGGACTGAACCATGCAGAAGAGGGCACCAGTTCTTCAGGAGGGGAGCATCCACCCAGGGAGCTATTCAGGAATGGACCATCTCCAAGAAGAGATGAGCCCCCAGGGACCAGCCCCAGCAGCACTGTGTTCAGTTTGATAAGCAGTACTCGCCTAGTAAAACTCACCCCAGGCTCTAAAATGCTGTATGGAGAGACCCCATCGAGCAAAACTCTGCAGTACTTTTCCCGTATTTTCTTTCCAGTCAGTGCTGATTACCCAGATAATGTGTCTAAACAGAAGCTGTCCTCTCTATAATTAGCCTAATTCCATTAGTGATGTTGCCATCCACTGTTTGTAACAGCAAAATTGCTTCCATAGCAGGGATTTTACTGTCAGATCCTCTCTTATGATGCTTTGTGTGGGTGGCAGGAGGAGGGGCTGCACGGGAAGAGATTAAACAAAGCCACTGCTATTCTGAAAGTCTAATTTAATTAAGAATATCACTACAGGTGCCATGTTGACAGCCTCCCTGTCCTAGCCTCTTCTTTTCCCAGGGTTACCAACCTCATATCTCCCATTAGAAACTGGCTGAGTTAGCACCATTTTAGCTACAGCTCCCCCCACAGCCGCCAGAGACCACACATCCCTGACCCGCCATGGATTGGACTGAAAGGAAATTAGTGCAAAAATAAACAATCTGAGAACAGCAAATTCCTCTTGCTTCAGTTTAAACATAGCCAGCACTGCAACAAGAGGCACTGAGGGAAGGCAATTTCTTAGGGAAACACTGATATAAGGCCAACAGCCAGCATTTATACAGGAATAAAGACATCCACAGGCAAGTTAGAATGGAAGCACAGAAACAATCTTGGAGGAGCAAGCATACCTACTTACTTGTCAATGTCTAAGGATGTTGGGCCGCTTTCACCACTGGCAGCTTTACTTCTTGCCTCTCTCTGACGCCGGGTGAGCACTGGAGAAAAAACAGAAAAGGTTACCTGCCATCCACCCTAAAAGCATCCCTACACCATGTCCAAATGCAACAAATTTCAATTGCTTCCACTCAAGGCTGCAGCAGAAGTGATGGTAGAGGCAAAGAAATACTAGACTGGGATGGGCATGGTCTTCTTTCCTGCAGAAGAGGTAGCTGGCCAATTCTTTCTTCTGGGGTCATACTGAAGAAGTTACCTTCCCTGGACTCAGAGACCAGCTAGTCATTTCACACTGTAACTTGTCTTCTGCCAGAAACAGCTGGATCAACAATACGTAGTTTACAGTGATTTTAAAGCCAACATGCAGCAGCGCAACAGCCTGGGAGAAGAGTTACACAGCTGCTCCAGCAGCACAGCACTACTCCCTGCCAAACTAAGCACCCGTGCCTACTGCAGGGGAGAGAGTGTGGTAACTGTGAGCTCGGGAGGAAGGAGAGCTGAGGCAGGGGCTGTGCAGAGGCACCAGCCCTTCTGCAGATGTGGTAGGAAGGGCAAGCCTTGCTGGCGAGGGATACAGCTCATGCTGGAAAGGGAAGGTTACAACAATTAGCCTACACTCGCTGCTTTTTCCACTGCCCATGTGAATGAGGGGTGATCTGTACTATTGTCCACATACAGCTCTGTGTGGCCTCCGGATGAAGATATCTACCAGGGCTAAGCATCAGTGGTGCTGCTCTCCAGCAGCAGCAGAGAAGGGCCAGCTCTGACACACGTGGGTAGCTAGCGAGATCCCAGCTGACCAGCACACTGATGACGGGTCCAACAATTTCTGTTCCTTCAGCAAGCCCAAGCAGCACTTCCAAACCTGCTCTCCAGGCATCTGCAGGGAGCACATCGGAGCGTTGTCTCTTTCAGTCAAATTCCTCTCAGGGTATTCCTGTTGACATGCCACCAGCAAAGATCCTCAGGGAGCATATCAGATAGCTTAGCTTGCTTCACCAGGGACATTCAAGACTCCAGCTCCAAAACACGTCACGTCACAGTAAGCACTCTTGAGCAAGCTGGCTAAAGGGACAATGCAGGGAGCTATTTCACAGCCCGGTAACATTGCCTCCCATACTCTCGCTAGAAGAAAGGTCTGAATCCAAAATATAGGCATGACAAACCTGTTATTGTTGGCACATTATCTGTGATAAAGAAAGGGGGACACAAATTTTGTACAGAACAAAGGGAATCCTTCAGTTTTAGCAAAACCCCATTTCCAGAGTGTTAGGCAACCCCAATATCTATCCATGATGCTGATACAACACAGCCTTTTCCTTAGTAACAATCACTGATCTGCAGCCACGACCAGCAAATGCACTGTGAGATGCTCGAGAGCTGTTGGGGCTGACGGGAGACATCCACACTGAAGAAACAAGCTTGAGCGTTTCCTAGGATGTGGGTATCGTCTTGTAGGCGATGACTGATACCAACGGCTCATTTCTCACAGGCACTGAAGCGGACGTCTCTCTTTAACTTAGCCTGGCCCAGATTCGAAGTGGCAGCCTGACTAGGAGGACTGATAGCCACGGCTGCCCCCCTGGCCATCCAGCCTCCCAACAACCCAACTAACATGTGCGTTTGACAGCATGGTGAAAGCTGCTCTCCAAATCAGTGTGCACTCGTTAATATTCCTTTAACACCATCTCGGAAGCCTCATGCACCAGCTCAGGTGTTAATCAGTGCGATTTTCTTCTGAAAGCAGTGAACACATCTGGCATAATGGGCCCATTAGAGATGTCTGGGACCAGCTCTGTAGCTGCCCAGGGGAAGACCCCCAGCTGTGCTGCTGGAAGCAGAGGCACAGGAGAGAGAACAGGGCCAGCTGATGAGGCACGACCCCTGCCAAAACACACCAGCCACCCACAGGAAGGGGGTTCAGAATTTGGGAAAACATTTGCCGTAGGGAAAATCCCCACCACAGAGCAGCGCTGACCCACTGTGTGACAGGAGCCTTGTAACTCTCCCAGATGCAATGCTCTTTGCTGGGTCAGACACACTCTGTAGCCCGAGAACAACCATTTCCCTGGCTCGGCATTTCTTCTGGTTGACAAGTCATCCTTGGCCTGCTTGGCTCCAGCTCACACCCTGGGGAAGAAGAGCAAACTCCCCAGCACAGCCCTGCTATCAGCACGTCCACCGCAGACACCTTCTGGAGCTGCCATGTCAGGTCAGCACGTGAAGCTGAGAGGCCATAGTCACCAAGCTCCTCACCTTACTGCACAACCCACCTGCAGTTCGACCCACCAGCTTCCTCCTCATCCTCACTACCAACCGTACCACTTTTTGTGCAGGATCCTGTTAGTGGCAGGCTCGCCAGCATCTTGTCCTTTCTCAGCAGTGATGAAGCTTTCCTCTGCACCCATTCTGTTACTCTTTCTGCTGTATCAGTGCCACTTCTATTGATGTCAGGAGCTTTTTAACAGCACCAGTGCTGCTGCTGAAGACTGACAGCTGCATCAGGTTGCATTTGAGGCTTTGGGAGGAAGGGATATACCAAATCCTCATTTTCCTGGGCTCACTTGGGAATTGAGAGGTTGGGAGCATATAGATGGATGGCAAGAGGAACAGACTGAGACCAGCAGATTCCTGCATTGGCAGCAGCAACAGGCCTTGGATGCGGTGTCTCCAGAAGAGAGTCCCTCTCACACAAGCAAGCCCTTCAGCTGAGTGCATGAAGGAAGAGAGAGCTGGCATAGCACTTCCACAGCTCCACTCTTCACTTGGAATTAATACCAGTCACTGAGCTGGAAACCCAGGACCTGAACCTTCCCCAGCCTGGTATAGTAGCTAACACAACAGCAGGCTCTTCTTTTTTTATTTACTCAGACCACAGGAAAATGGAAATTCATGATCAGATTTTCATACTGCCCAGGTATTTGGTGGTCTGGGCATTCAGCCAGGGCAACCATGTACGTACGCAGGGGAAGTAACTCATCTTGCCCAGCTAACTCATTTGAAAACCTGTCCTTAAATATCAGCAAGACTGAGCTGGCCTCCTGATACATAATACTGAAAGACTTTGGTGCATGATTAGAAGAGGGAAGAAGAGAAGTAAAACCAGCAAGAACCCATCCTTTTGTAATTTTAAAACGAAAACCACTGACAGCTATAGTCTGCAGGACTGCATAATCTGCAATTCTAGAGACATCAGGAGTAAATCAAATTAATAAGTCCAAAGACAGACCAGGAACCCCTGACCCAGTGCACCAAAGGAAAACTGAAGCCATCTTTTCTTAACAGATCGGGACATGGATTAGAGGGCAGAACTTTGATTCTTTCTTGCACAAGGCTGTTGCTGTGCTCTCGAGGAAGCCAACAGCCAGCCAAGAGCACACAGCGCTGCAGCAGTAGAGAACAGCTGCTGGACCCACACAGGAGCTGGCATTTGCTTCAGAAGACAATTCTTCCACCTCTTTTTTTCTCCCCATGCATTAGCTTTACCTATGAATTTTGTGCTAGTGATGGATGCCAAGGTAACAGCCCTGGAAACAGAGTCCTTTTGTACCTGCACAGCTGTGCTAGGTTACTGTCTGGCCTCTGCTCAGAGCTAAACATCATCCCTTCCTATTCGACCCAAACCCCACTGACCAGCCCATCAGCTGAGACCTCCCCGGGTGACTGCTGCCTTTGCACAGCCACTGGGAACCATAACGAGGTGCCCTGCAAGCCAGAGCCCCAGCAGCAGGCAGGATTCTGCCCCACGTTACGTGCTGCTCCAAGTCCAGGAAGCCCATAGTCCTGCAAAGAGTCCTGGTGCAAACAACACAGGCATCACAGACTGTTATGGCTAATAAAGCCTGGTCTCTACAGGGAAAATACTAGAATAACTGGCAATATAAAACCCAAATTATTGTGATTTTGTCCCAAAACCATTGCTCTGCTTAGAGCCATTATTGTAGACCAAAATCCCTTTTATTCCAGGCTAGTTTTCTTACAGGGGGATTGTTCTGAACAAGCCAGAACAGCAGAGTAGCAATTCCAAAATAACTACCCTTACAAACATCCCCAATGAGACCAGTCTGGAAGCAGAGTGGAGAGGCCAGCCTTGAACTCCATCCTGCTGAAAGCCAACACCAAAGGAAAGAATAAATTCCCTCACACTGCTGAAGAATTCAAAGCCTTTTCCTGATCACAGTCAGGATTCCCCAGGATCAATGGATATACTCACAGTCCAGCCACACCAGGGACCCAATTACCACAGGGCCAAAGACATTCTTGCTAAAAGGCATACTAAAAATTCCGCTCCATTTTGTAGCACAGATAAGACCTTTATCAGTGTTGAGGATGGGAGAGGAACTGTGATAATTTGCAATTTGCCTGAGCTGAACGCTTCATATTAGTAGCTCGTTTGTGCCTGTAGAGAGAACTCCCCACCAAAATTAAGCACCAAGCAGTATCAGCTGCTACTCTGGCTCCTATTATCTTGACAGGACCCATGTCATATCCCCAAAGATTTAGTATAACAGGAACCTTGTATTTTAAAACTATATCAACTCTGCATTAAGATTACATGGTGAAACTTCCTCCTGCTAGAGGAATGCAGAAGTTACAGTTCTTGTACTAGCTCTGATTTGCTCAAATTGCTTAAACATCATAGATTTAGGTTGCATTTAATAACCCAGTATGTAACTGAAAATTATATATTCACAACCTGAAAAGTTAATCTTATTACAAGCTACTACTTTGATATTACCTGACATTGTGCTAACACAGACTTTACATTTCAAGCAGCAGCTAAAACATAACTTATTGAATATGTTGATAACCAACCGGTATATTTGTTCACTTAAGCTCCACAAAGGTTGGCTATGGAAAATTGATACGGAGAAGACTGCAAAGAGGATTAATATGGGCATTCTAACTGTGCTTCTATGCCTCACTCTTCACATGAAGGAGAAAAATCCAAACTCCCAGATTGATAGCTATCATTTTGTAATTTTAGAGGAACAAGAGGGAAACTTTTCTGCAATCCCTTGCAGCTGAAGCCATTTTTGCAAATACAAATGTCAGACTCATTGCAGAGTGCAGGCCGTACTTGGAGTGGTACAGAACATTCTCCCTTCTCAAGAGCCCTGAAGGATGCGTGGCTCAGGAGTCTGCCATTTTCTACCACTGGCAGATTCTCTGCAGGTCCTCAACAAAACACACATGTCTTACGAGTACTGCTTGAAACATCCAGAGCTAGATCCTGGGGTAATATTCACACGCTTTCCAAGGGACTAATAATGTGATTAATTACAAAGTCGATCAGAGAGAAGATGTCTCAGTGCTGGAAACACAGGAACCTCCGATAACACTCTCCTGCCCAGCTTGGAGATAGAACAAAGCAGAGCGAACAAACCTTCCTATATGCCACGCCACGCACCAAAATCCCAAGAGGGACAAGACTGCAGCACCTGATCACAAGTAACAGGACAGGGCTATGAGCACAAAGAGCAAACACACAGAAGCAGCGCTTGGCAGACCTGGACCGTCCTCCTCTCCCATGATGCCGTTGCAGTACATGGCATGCAGCTCGATCTCCGTAGCTGGAAAGCCTTGATCACACAACGGGCACGACACATGGTCAGCAGCTGTAGGACTGCGCTCAGACACAGTCCTGCCAGCATCTTCATCTCCACCAGCCTAAGGAAGAAGAAGAAAAAATTAGCCAGACAGTTAATTGTGCCATTTCTCTTTTTTTGCTAGGTGCAGAGCTCTGTGCTGTCTGGTAGCTACTCACCCTCCCACAGACTCAGTTTTTCTTGGAAAGTTTTATTCTCCCTTCATCACATACTGGTCAGAAATAACATCACTGGCTGAGTAAACTGTGCAGCACTAATAACTAATTCTTCTTCCAAAGGCAACATGTCCTTCTGAATCATGGTGAAACCTCCCTGCACAGCCATGCACACCATTTGAGGCAAACATCACCTGTACTACAGCGGAAAAATGTCGAAGCTTCCATTAATCAAGAAAGCTCAGAAGCGAAACTGATGGAAAATTCATGGGGCAAAGCAAGAGTTCAACACCTGACTTGTGCTCATCAGTTTCTGGACATGATCCACACTACACAGGCGGCACTGTCTGGGAACACAGCTTCCCCCAGGATGAAAGGAGGCTGCTGTGCTCTTAGGGAGTCTGGAGAGATCACTGGGAAGCTCCTCCTCTCTAGAGGAGGTGGCTGAAGCAGTCATCAGAGGGGACACAGATCAAGGAGAGAGGCAATACCATTAAAAATCCATGTCACACAAAATTACTAGCAGTGGCTTTTCGCCAGGGCAAAATGTCACAGCCCATGTTTGTTCTCCAGATGCCATTAACACTTACTGATACTCTCTTTCTGCATTGGTTACACAGCTGCAAAGGTGCACCGCTACCCACCCGCGGAGATACAGACTGCTCCCTACGCTACTGATGTTCCCAAGACACAGCAGACTGCTGCCATCTCACTCATAACTAGATCTCCGCCTAGTCAGGCTTGCTACAAGATTTCTCCACATTTAAGAAAGAACCTTTCCCTCCCTGCAATGATTAAAAAAAGGTATTTAAATATTAACCATGTAGAAGAAACCTATAGGAAAATAACATAGGAGAGTTTTCTGTTCTTAAGGCTAAGCAGTGACATGTAGACAGTATGCAGCAAAACTGCTGTCTGCTTCCTTCCAATGGTATGATTTCAGAGAAGCAGTAATTGAGGTCAGCCAAGATGCTCAGTGCCACTGGAGTGCTTTGTCGTATTACTCAGTTTATTACTTGCTTTTCCAAATGAGGGTCTGATCCTGATTTTTATGTCCTAAAGGGAAGGAGGGTGCTTCGTTGACTCAGAGGAGCTCTGCAAAAAATTGCAGGACTGGGCCTTAAACTGAGAATCCAACTCACAAAACGCATTTCTCCCAGACACCGGCTGAAAGGCTATGGCACCGATCCCCAGGAATACCTCTCTCATTTCCAGGGAGGCTCTCTGCCCTGGATTTCTGCGGAGGAGTTGCCACAAGAGTTCCTCCAGCCGAACACAGGCTGTTGAAGTACATCACTTACAGCATTAGCACTCATACCCCGCTCTCACATCTCAGTGTCACTACATCTTGTGAAGTCCTCACCGTGGGGCGTCACATAGAGGAGCCGTAAAAAACAAGATGTGTCAAATATGAATGATCAGATCAACCCGCATTATCCTAGTCAGACAACACACATAAAAAATATGATGGGAAAAGCAGCAGGCACTGCTCCTTCTAGCTACCATTTTTAAAGCAATCTTAGATCACCAATTCTGCACACCCTGCCCACCTACATTCAGTGGTAAATTACTAATTTTAAATGGAAATGCAACATTTTGTAACAAAAGACACCACAGTCCCAAAACTGCTTGTACAAAATCTTGCTGTAACAGTCTAGAAAACCTCAGCTGCAGAACCAATCACCCCTGTCAGAGGCAGAGACTGTTGCCTCTCCTCTTTAGCAGAGGAAATTGCCTACAAGACATAGTACTTGCAGCCAACAGCCAGCCAAGAGCAATGCTAGAGGCTGAGCTCAACAACAAGACTCCTGTGTCCTGGCTCAGCATCTGCTAGGAAGAAGTCAGTCCCAGCGGTCTACGCTCACTTCATGCTAACTGCTGATGCACATGGAAGCTGTTTCTGCTGTCTTCCTGGAGGGCTTCAGGCTCTGGACCAGTACCTGCTGCCAACAATAATGTTGTCAAAAAATCCCTAGGAAGCCCCACTGCACCGCTTCCAAACACTGTGCTGATCACCTTGTGCTGATCATCTAGCAAAGGTGTGAGACCCAGGGCACCCTCTGCAAAGCACAAGGGACAAGACAGTGTCCTGCCCACAGCCAAATGGGTCATGAACATGCTTTGGTGGCTGCGGCTACCTGGCTCAGCACAGGACCGCCGCCTCTCCCTGCTACAGTCTCTAATTGTCTAAGCAGTGCTTTGAGATACCTGCAGAATGAAAGGCACACAAGAGCAGAAGCTGGTTTATTAAGAGGCCTGTGACAATGAGACACTGGAGCTGCAGACGCACTGTACAAGCTGCAGACTCCCAGAATGAGCTTTCCACAAATGAATCCTCTTGTCAAGAGCTGTACGATTCTGTATTCATGTACCCTGCCAGAGGAGTACTTGGCAACCCCTTTGATATCACTCTCTAAATTAATAGACAAAGGGAGTTTTATCAGAAGCAGGAACTGAAGTCAGATGTCGGTACAGCGACAGCTGCAAAGCAATTGCTGCACAGGTGTGACAACATGGGGAAAGGAGCCACACAACAGTGCACATCTGCATCAGGAGGTAAGAGGATGGCCCTGCCACTGACTCACTATTGCTATTAACTATTACTGCACAGAAATCAAGATTCCTGGGCTCAGGTCACTCTGTTTGGACTGCAAACCACCACCAGCCCTCAACACTCCAAAGTAATCTTTATCCCAGCCCAGTCTCTGGGAGAACCTCTCCTCTCAGCTTCTTGGAGATTGTCTGTGGAGAACAAACACCAAAGTTCAGAGGACTGTAACAGGGAAAAGCATGTCACAATGCGAGTGACTGAGGTTTACCAGGACTCCCATCACAGCTTCTGGGGTCCCTCTGCATCACTGACCATCACAGCACTAAACCTCTGAGCGTGGGCAAGCAACAGCGCTGCTGTCCACACTGATGGCATCCTCCAGCAGAGCAGTGTGCATGGTAGAAAAGAACAAGCTGGAATTGATAAAAACTCTCCAGCTACAAGACCGAAAGGCTCAAAAGCAGCTGCACGCAGCCCCCAGCCAAAAGGGACTGGAGTTATGACACAGTGAAGAAAAGTGAAGACGGAAGTGTTTGTGAGGATCCCAACAGCAGAAGCCCAAGCTCCCAGCTACCCAAAGGCAAACACTAGCACAGCCCAGCTGAACCAAGGTCTAGACGGCAGGACTGGAAACAGGACCCTTCCCCAACTCCAAGCTCTTTTACCTGCATAGGTGCATCTCTGCTGCCCAAGCACAGCTCTTCTCTCTCCACCTCAATAGTTTCCAGTGGACTCGGCTGGGTCTCTACAGAAAAACACCACCATGTCAGCACAGGTTTGCAGCCCCTAAACTATCTCCTCACTTGATGTAACATGGCCCATTTCTTAACAGTGTTTTCACAGCTTCAAAACATTTTTTAGATTTGCCACAAATGTTATCAGACAACGTGCAACAACACAGCCAGATGAGGGGTTAAAAGTCACAGCACAGTGGTGTGAGGACAAAGCCACCGCAGCTTTGCGGCTTCATGGGGAGTGAGACTAGACACAGGGAAAGCGTGTGGGACACTTGCTGGGATAGAGACTAAGCAAGAATAGAGCTCTCCCTTGCATTGAGACAAACAGAGCTCCTGTTCTGCGGTCTGCCTCGCAGTCGCACCTTCTTCAGACCTCCACGTCTTCCTTAGCAACAAAATATGCCTCCAAGCACCACCATGACCTCTCTCTCTCTACAGCTGCTCATGAGCAGGAGTGGTCTCTTCATTAATTTTCTCACTGAAAACTCTGGACTGGAAAATCTCAAACATGGTAGGCGAGACCAAGGAAGAAAACTCAGTTGTCCCAAACATGTTTAATTAATGTAAGACAAAAATTATTTCAGCTCTCATGCTTTACACATATCTCAAAACTGAAAAATCTGAAAACTTCTTGATTGCATTGAAGAGACCACTCCTGACACCTTGTTTTGAGTGATCGCTCCATATTGATGTACATCCTAGTGTCTCTTCAGCAGCAAGTCCCCAGCAATCTCTGGTCACAGAACTGTCTTAGAAGAAATGGGTTCAAAACCAGGCAATCAAACTAAATTACCTGGAAAATTTCAGCCCTGACAAACACAGCTGGGAAAGAAATCTTATTTTGTTCAAATAACTTGAAAATTCTCTTTTTTTCTCTGAAATTTATAAGTGTGCAACTTTCAGTGCAAAATTCAGAATTGTGAATCCTCAAGTGCCTCTTACCTGGGCAAACAGAGATCTCTTCTTCAGCAGAGTTTTCTGTGGCAGTATCTGGGCTCCTTTTACTGCCAAGTGGAGTCAACATGGAGATGCTGTTCAAAATATAAATATAACATAAATATCCAATCCAGTAGGTGACAGCCACACCCACCTGCCTCACACAGTTCAGAACAGCAGACGATGCCATAATTTCCAAGAGGTCAATATCTGATAGCCAGAAATGACCAGGACAACAGTGAAATACGGGTGTAAAATGCTGTCCTAAGCAAAAACCCCAAAGGGAACATTTTTTCTTCTAGAAGGCCTTGACAAAAAGGCACGACAGGTCACTATCTCATGTCAGGGGAGCAAAAATACCTGCTCACAACTGTGGGACTCTCTTGATACTTTCTACTCTTATAAGATTTGGGAGTTGTGCAGGTACCAGCACCATGCTTCCTTCTGTCTGAGGAAGGAAATCCTCAGAAAGGAAAGACACAGACTTGCTTTATCCTGCATTACCCTCTCCCTCCTCACACTGCTAATTTTCTTCCTTATCGCTGTGCACAGCAGCCAGAAGCAGCACGGATGCAACACAAGGCAAGGCTTCCCTGCAGCAAAGTCCTAACAGCATTACCACAGCAGTTCCTCTGAGCAGCACCAGGTACTGCTCCTCTCGTTTTGACCTTCGGATTCCTCCTTTTTTTTTTCCTCCCTCACACTGCACAATGTCTTTCCCAAACAGGCAGGCATTGCCGAGTAAGTCTGGCACCCATGCTGACATGCTCCGCGCTTTGCGTGGCTTTCTGATTAGTCTGATCAAGTATGCAAGAACACACTTTAAAAACATGAATCCTCATACTGACAAATAGAAGATTTATTAAGCTCAACCACAGGCCTTAGAGAGGCGAGAACAGCCACTGTTGATTTATGATAAATAACAAAATTCTGATAGGAAATCACAAGTGGCTTTTCTCTCTAAATAAAGCATCTCAAAGCATTTGTTATGAATCCAGGCTGAGCATGTTTTACTCTGTGTCCAACATCAGGGCTCACTTCAAAAAAACTCACACAAAACAACTTGCTATGACATTTATAAAATGGGCTAATCAATTTGAAGTCAAACCACATTTCTTGCTACACCAACTATCTCCCAGTAACAAAGCCTATAATCATTTATTAAAACCCCAATCTAACGTGCTCCGCACAAAGCATAAAGCAATCAGGCAGAGCGGCCCGCAGAAAGCAAAGGAGCCTCTTCTCACTGCTGCCACTTCCTAAACTGCTTCACTACCTCCAGACAGCTCAGAGCTGTGTTTTCCTATTAAGCGCGCTGAGGCCAGCCGGCCAGGGTGCCTGAGCCTTACCCGAGAGAGGACTGCACTTGGCAAACTACCAGGAGCCAGATGGCAACACTTAATGTGCACAAAACTGCGAAGACTGCAGCCATTTCTTGCCTTGCTGCAGATGTGCCAGCTGCTCAAGGAGGTACCGCAGCACCCAGGTGCATCCCGGCCCCTAGGGGGACAGCCAGGAGCTCCTGGGCGGCTTGGGGAATGTCCCAAACTAACCCCATGAGCTACACCAAGCAAGAGAGGTCCCCTTCTTTTCATATTCAGCCCTGGCCTCTTCTGCCTTAAGCAGGCGGGAGGCCAGCTCTGCAGAGTGCACACCTCGTTGCCTTCTATGCAAACACACAAGCTCAGACCTCAGCTGTCACAGACTCATCAGCCTCAGCAGCAACAGCAGCCACAGGTTCCTCCTGCTCCCCAAGGCGAGCTTTAAGCTTGTTAGCAAGGTGCAAGCAAGAGGGATTTTTCATACTCTGCATATTGATATTAACTGCTCAGGCCAAATGCTGTTAGATCAGAAGAAAGTTGGCAGTTTTGTTCCAAAGCAGGTTTAAATTATAAAACCCAGCAAATTAAAAACATGACATTATCTGGCCTCTCTTGTAACTTGCTCCTTGAATCCTCTCCCATTTGCCCTTCTTCTCCCACAGCCTTTGCTGCAGAGTTGCACCCACAGGAAGGAGAAGGAAAAAAAAAAAAAAAAAAAGGAAAAGAGGAGTAAGCTTAAATCTGAAGAAAATCATGTTGACTTGTCCCACACCTGTCATCTGCTGAAGTGGCTTTTCTGGAGCACTGCACTCTATCTTTGGCTGATAGGCAGTGCCGTCTGGCTTCCCCCCTCCCTTCTTTCCTCTTCAGCAGTAAGGCAAGAACATAAAAATACACACAGAAATCCAGTAAACCCTCCACCATGCTGCCTATGTGCCTTCCCAGACAGATCATGTGATGGAATCGCTATAACTCACCTTCAGCTCACCTACCCATCTCCACAGCTTTACTGCACCATGTCACATTAGCTTCAGAGGGCAAGGATCAAGTCCTCCTACTTGAACAAGGATGCACCTTGCACGTTTTATAAAGTAACTGAGCTCTTCTCCCCAGTTGTGTCCCACCTCTCTCCCACACTGCTCCAAAGCCACGTATTTCCAGGAATACCTAACAGCAGCAACTGCAGACAGCCTTTCCAGCAAGCCCTGCTGCCAGGCCCTGCAGCGAGTCCTGGTGAGACTGCACCCCAAAATACTCCAGGGAGAGTGGAAGAGCCCACATCACCAGAGTGAGCCCATGAGCCCCACACTCTGAAACCACCCTACTCACCTCTGTGCAACTTGCATGGGTTCCCCATCTTCATGCACATCCTCTGCAGGCAGCACCTGGGAGGCCTGGAAAGGAAAATTCTGGTATTATATAAAACAACGTACACAGCTAACCGGGATCTGCTGGGTCATCAGATTCTGTCCATGACACTGCACCCAGTCTGTTACGTATTTTTTTTTTCCTGAAAATGGCTAAGTATCCATCCTGAACTAGCCAGCTTTTTCCCTCCATCACTCCTTCTGGTAAGGTGTTTCAGCAGCTCCCTGCAATAATGCCTGGCAGCACTTTTTGTTACCTTGCTGACTAGACATGTTCCTGGACTGTCCATGCCCACTCATTCATGCCAACCTTGTCCACCACCGTCCACAGCCTCTGCCTGTTCCTAGCATCTACCCTGATGTACTTGTAGGCAGCAACCATAGCTCTTCTCCATCTCCATTTGCGCTGAGCTAAACAACCCAAGGATTTTAGTGTCCCCTTGCACTTCCCTCAAGCCCCTCAGCAGCCCTCATCTACTCCAGTTTAAAATCTATTTGCCTGAGCCAGGATGACCTGATCAAATGGTACAGCTGATGTTTGACCACGAGCAATACTGTTCTGAAATTCCTTACAGATAAGATGTGTTGCATTTTTCTTGACTGGGAAATCAGCTGTCCTACCAAAGAGAGGGAACAGATTAACCTGCACAATCTACAGCTGGTAAATCTGTGTGCATTTTATCCCATTTTTCATTTAGCTCTACGACTCCACTTATTCTTTCCTTTAAAATTTGTTCAAAAGCCTTATGCACTGCCAAGGTCAGGCTAACATGCCAGTCATTACCCAGATCCCTTTCTTCTTCTTCAGCCTACACGTTACACTTGCCATTCTCTAATCAGGTGGAATTACAATGGTTTATTAACAGTCCTTGCTGTCAGGCCTGCGATTTCTCATGCTAGTTCTCAAAGAAATCCAAGGGGTTTTCCTGCCCCTTCCTCGAGTCTATTAAACTCTCCGAGTTTGATTTCTACCATAGCTTTCAACTTCAGTCAGCTCCACTCCTGGATGGCTGATATACTTCCCCAGCAAGCCCCAAAACAAAGCCTCCAGTCAGATTTCCCTAAAGTGACTCCAACCCCCAAATATTCTGTTTCATCTATGCTGTTCTTTATTTCTTCACAGACTAACTCACCATTAACATAAAATACCACACCTCCTCCTTTGTTTTTATTTCTCTTTTTCCTGAGCTGTGCATATCTCAGCAATGACTCTGCCCTAGTCATGAATACTGGGCCATGTTTCTGGTTTTCCTAGTACATATGTTTTAAGGTATGGCACTAATTCAGGTCACCAGACTCCAACTCTCCAGAATTGGGTCTTTTCCCTCTGAATCTTTTAAAGACCAAGAGTCACCCAACCTTATTTGAAAGGCTACGAAAGAATTGATTCTATTAGCACTGAAGTGCGTTAGTGCAGGTTCACAGGCTATGAGATCTCCTGACAACCACGATTTGCTCTGTGCAAACATTCCTTGGCTGCGGGTGGCAGTTGCAGCAGTTGGCCACTGCCAGGGTGGAAGGTCTCTGCCCGCTCCGGGTGAGGGTTTCAAACCATGGGTACAAGCAGGCTCCCTCTCAAGCACGTCATTTGCACCTTCATTTCACTGGTACAACACACAGCACAAGGCTTTTTCAAAGACAGGTTTGAGTCCCCATGGATGGTTTCTAGCCTCAGCACAGCCTAAAATCTCCCACCAGCAAAGCAGCCCTGGTGGCACTGGGGGAGGCCCAGGGCAGTACAGGCAGCAGGGGTCTCCAAGCGATGCAGCACACCAGCGACACGACTGCTCCGTGGCCCTCCTTTGTCACTGCTGGTGGAATTGTATTTGATAGACGGAAAAAAATGGAAACAAGGCACAAGCAAACATCAAACATATCGATCTTGCAAGTAAGTCACCTGCACTGGCCTCAGTGTGTGACTGCACAGAGAGGTGAGAAAAGGGAGCAACCTCTCAAGCTGGGTGTGATAAGGCAGATGGAAGGGCATGTAGAAATTATTTTCTCTTAAATAAATAAAAGATTGGCAAATTTTGGGCTAGGGTTGAAATTTTAAAGTCTGCTCCCCCTCTCCCTTCCTTATTTTTTCACCTTAAAAGTATCAGAAAGACTACATCCACATACATACTATGGCTCTTTGAGAGAGCTGTTGTGGTCAGGGTGAGTACATTACAAGTTCCCACTCAGCACTACTAAAACCTCTTTTCTCCCCAAGACGTAATTAGGTATTAGCATTAAACGGATAATATATAAAAAATACCCCACAATTTTCAGTACTGATTAAAAGTTCACGCCCTTCCCAGCTGCTGTAGCTTTCCAAGGGCTTTAGCGTACACCTCCATAGCCCTGCAGTCACCCCAATCTTCCAGATTAATGACACCTCCATTTCCAAAGGAAAAGGCACAGAAGAAAAAAAGCAGTTTGCTTTAAGAACCTTTCAGGTCTTTTGTATCTATCCTAAAGAAATGAAAAAGGGCGCAAGTCCATTTCTTTCCTCTGCAGGTCACCTCTAAGGCTTGTTTAAATCTGTATCTGCTAAACCCAAGCCAAAGCACTGTCATGAAAAGTCACATTTCAGCACAGGCTGCTCTGCTCTTTTTCTGCAACCAGAAAATGCAGACATGACGTTTTTCCTAAGTGTTCAATATTACAAGACAGAATATAAATATCACAAAACAAGTTAAGTATCTTTCTAACACCAGGGTAAATGATCAAATACACTTGAAAACAGGAACAACAGAGCAGAGGCTTCAGTCATAGAGAAGATAAAGTTATACAATGATCCGGGAGTGAAGTCATTATGAAAAATGAGGGTTGGAAAAGGCTGACACAAACCTAAAATACAGCAGTAATAAATACTTCATCTGACTAGCAATCTGTTTAAACTTAGCAGTGACAGAAAGCTGCCTTCCGCTCCAACAAGAGAGCCCTGATGGAGACAGAGGCTGACACCTAGCGTCTAGCAGACCCAACAAGCAAGCCGGAGAGAAGGTGCCCAACCACCAGAACAAGGACGATGAGCACCGCTGTGATGACAGATCACCCCAGGCAGGCAGAAGACGCCTGCGAGCATGCTGAACCTCTCCTGGCCACAACCGCAGGACCACAAGCACTTGCAAGGGTGAAGCACGTATGGACACAAACAAGCATGTAGGTGCAAAAAGAAAAGGCTGCACTGCAAGGACAAAAGCCACATTTCTGTCTACAAAAGAAAATGCAGAGCTCCACACACAGCCATGGGTTTATAAGCTGGCTTGCCACAGCTGGTGGTGGTCAGCATCATCTCTATGCTCACTACCTTGACACACTGCCAGGCTACACCCTTTTGAGAAGGACAAGTCAGCTGGAAGTCTTTATCTCAGTGGTGCATTAATGGACGACTGCCAGGCTGCATGATGGCCCCTACCATTTGTGAGCTGGGTATCAGCCTGTATGCTTTTCCTGTCCCTTTCACAATAAGCTGTGTGGCTAGGGGAGGAAGTCCCTGAATTTAAGAGGAGCATTAAACAGCAGTGCCTGCTTTGCAGAAGACAAAATGGACAGAAGAGCAGGACTGCTCAACTTCTGCTCAGTGGCAGATCTCTTACCTGGCAGTAGCTGGTGGTCGGTTCATCATCAGAAGTGGAGTTCTTTTCTTCCATGCTGTGCCCTGGACTCTCTGCCTCCCTCCTCTTTGAAGGGAGGAGCCAGGTGATGCTCTCAGACTCCTTCTGCCCATCTGGGTCTCCATCTTCTGTATCATCAGCAACCCCATTCTCCCTGCTTATCTGCTCTCCTTTCCCAAGCTCATTTTGGCTCAAGGAAGAACTGGGCACAACTGGGTTTCCAAACTCCTTCTTGTGCAGTAGCTGCCTCTGAGCCTGCTTCAGGCTCTTCTGGTAAACCTCCAGCTGACACAAGATGACTTTGGTGTACTGGTTGGGGTCCACCCCTTTGGGGCAAAAGGGGATGCCCCAGTAATAATGCACTGTGTCTCTCGCCTCCTCCTGCTTGTGCTTCTCCTCTGCATTCAGTATGCAAAGCTCAGGGGTACTGTCAGGCACCTCGTTCTGCTCTGCTTGCCCTGCAGAAACACAGACTTTGGCGGTGTGCCTGGGCTGTGAGGTGTGTTTGGTTCCTGCTCCTCCACCACTCCTCCTGGGGCTGCCACACTGTTCCGCAGTCCAGCTCTTCCAGAGCACGGCTGAGCTCCCAGCACCAGCTTCTCCTGCAGAATGGCCAGTGGAGGGCAGGGACTGCTCTTTTGGTTCGTGGCTTGCTGTTTCTGAAGAGCTGGAGGGGCTTGCGAACAGTCTCCGAGGTGTCAGTCGCCAGGAGTCTGAAGTCACCCTGCCAAAGGTGGGACTCAAAGAGATGAAGTCCTCTCCAAGAGTGCTGGGTAACATGTTACTAGAATCACTTTTTGCTGGTGAGGAAGGCTTTTCACTTGACCTTGTCACAGGCTGGCCCTTCCCCGGAGACACGATTATGCTAGATACTAGTGAGCTTTCAACGATTTCCTGGCTTAACCTCCTCAACACTACCAGGGGGCTCCGGGCGACATCCATCTGTCCATTCCCATCAGCTCTGACGCTCTGTGAGTGGGAGCTGCACTTGGAGCGAGGGGTGTCAGGGCAAAGTGCCAGACCTCTCAGGATCTCAGAGCTTTCTTTCTCGGCAGGCTGGCTTTGGCCTCGCGCACCCAGTACTTCTGCAGACAACTGAGGGTTTACATCAGAGGAGTTTGAGGGCTGACAGCTCTGAAAAACAAAAGGTTGATTCTCCAAGAGGTGTGTTCTCTATCCACTGAGCATACCAAGGGCTCCCCCAGTACGCTGGCAGCTGTCACCTGGACTGCAGGACACCCCCCGCCCTGACCAGAACTGTGTACCCCAACATAGGGGACAGCGGAGGTTAGAATTCATACACCCCTCCCACTAGGAATGGTACAAAACAACTACTCTGCGACTGCTGTAGTTCCAGCTCATGCTGGAAATAGCTAGGCCCCCAGTAAAACCTTATTTTCTGCAGTATGGCAAAGCAAGGACAGAAAGCAACGTTGCTGAAGAACCCTAGTAAGCCTCTTCACAGAAGCACACTTACATTAAGGCTCTCAGCAATGGCCTTCCTCAAGAGCTCCTCCTCTTCCTCTTCCTGACAGTTCACTTGTCTGGCTTCTTGCTCACTCATTTTCAGGGCCAGTGCAAACTGTTCCTCTTCAGTCATCTCTACAGCAGAAGAAAAAGGATAATGTCAAGTCACAGCTGCAGGTGTATGTGAACACCCAATGTATATCCAACATGTTGGGAGAAATGTCCAAGGGTCCCACCTCCCCAGGAGGAATGCAGAGCAAAACATCTAAACCTCAGCTTCCCTGAAAAGATGTCACCAAAACCAGAGCAGGCAACACTAAATGAAAAAGGTAATCCAAGCCAGGAACTTCAGTTAGGTTTTCTACAGCAATCTAAACTCTGACTCCCCATGTATATTAACTGCAACGGGACATTTTATTTGCCCTCATCAAACACCACACTCTACAGCTGCAGAAAGCACGTTCAAGGAGAGAGGAAAAGGATAGACTTCCAAAGCATGCTCATTTTTACATTGGATAGGCTCAGCAGCGAGGCAGAATAAAGAACATGTCTTCTTTAATACACGTTTTTAGTAGGCAAATAGCACATCTCACTGTCTTCTGCCACACAGATACCTGCAATACCACAGGAGACCTACCCGAGAGAAAAAGAGCTACATGTTGTTCACCCGGAGCTGCAGGTGGAAAGCTCTGTGGAGGATAATGTTACTTGCTCGGTAGTATTATGGAGGATCTTTCACATGCATGCATCCCCCTTCTGCTCACATCACCACTCCACTGCATCACTAAGTCAGTCACGCATGGGAAACAGGTTTCCTACAGTTGTAACTGCTACTTCAGCAGAAAATTTCTTCCTGAAATATTCCTCACTCAGAGCAAACCAGAAGCCGAGACTGGCTATTTAGAAGGAAAGCAGTTTGTTACTTTGGAAAACGCTTATTTACTTAGATTCAATCCAACACTTTCACTATGCTTAAAATGTACAATGCCTGCAGAATGGAGTGCAGCTTGGAAAACAACTCAACAGCACTCTCAGGAGCCGAAAAATACATCTTCTCACTCGAAACAAATTGACAGATTTCCTTCAAAACCCGCTCCCTCCTTCAGGCAGAATCCTGTATGCGCCATCTCATGCATGAACCGAAAGGCTTGCTCTCTGATGGGCTAGAAGAGCTTTAAGAGATGCAATTTGAACAGGAAGGCCGCCCAAGCACAAAACATGCCTTCACTGCAGCCAGTTTTGGAGACAGACATTTCCCTGGATAAAGATGCATTCAGAAGCTTCAGGCTCCCATTTTCTAACCCATCCTCTTCCTACCAGCTGCCACCAAAATACAGCAGTGCAGACTCCCTTGAAGCAGCCTGGGATTGCACTGGTCTTAGCACAGCCCGTGCATCACGGCACTACTGCATTGAGGTGCATCCACACAGCAGCAGGCTTTGCTTTGCCCTTCCCCCAGCTCGTTGCTAATGGCAGGCTGGTTCTTCCCCCACCCAAGCAGGATTTGAAGCATTTTTGGACTGTTCCGATTACCAGCCATAGATTCCTTTACGTGTCCTACTAAATCAGCACTTAGCTTTAGGTTGGGGGGTTTTGGGGTTGTTTTTTTTTTTTTTATTTCTTTAAAAATTAAGAAAGAGGTTGAAGTGAATGCAGACTGCAGTGCACTCAGGGCTCGTGGGGATCTTTTGTCCTTGTACAAAGTCACTCTATGATGTTACAGCCAGGAGGGACCAGGAAAAAAATAATGCATCTTTTAATGAAAAGCACACAACAGTCCAGTGTATGAAGAAGGCTCCCGTCCCCAAGAACAGCAATAATACGCAGCATCTCCACAATACAAACACCTCCCAATCATTCAGTAAGTGTGTGCTGATTTGCTTCCCTGCCCAAACCATCACAGCAATCAGGCCAGATCCTGCAAACTCTGACATGTGCAATAACACCGGTGCACGTGATCAATGCCCCACAAGACAAGACTTTCCACGTGCTTAAATTAAAACGGGGGCCTGAGCGTTCACCAGTTCAGGCTATCAACATCCATGAAGCTTAATAAAAAGAAACATTTTTTTGGCGAGTTACTACTGTACATTTTGTTTTCTTCTCCCTCCCTGGCACAGCAATTTCCCCTCTGGGGACAGGGAATGTGCCAGACAAATGCTGCCTCTGGCAAAGAAACCAGCGACAAACAAGATGCACTTAGTGCACGTTCCAGTTGAGTAGGTGCTCTGGAGACAGGGAAATCTCGAGCTTAAATCCACCTGGCATTACAGTGGAGAGAGCAAAGAGCAGCTCTGCTCATGCCTTCCAGGAGACCCAACCTGCTTTAAGCTGAGCGGTCCGGAGCTGACAGTATTTTGTGCTCCACATCCGATCATTTCTCAGCACCGTGCGTTTTATTAAACTTGATGTTGATTGCACCAGTCATAATTTACGATGATTAGAAATCCAGAGTGTTGCGTTAGCCCCCTACTGATGTGTGCAAACAGACCTCTGGAGCACTCCGGGAGCAAACACCGAGCATGCAGCACAGGTGAGCCATGCTCCTAAAACATGCCAGCGGGGCAGGGGCTCCCACAGCCTTTGGGGGGAATGACCCCTCTCTGTCTGGACAGACACGCTCCAGCACACTCAGCTCAAACACATCACACACCTCACAGGAGCCCATTCTTGCTGATGGGTGGGGAAGCGCCAGCACCTCCGGCTGGGAATTCTGCATCTCACGCTCTAAAATCCACTTGCCACACGTCCATCCCAAAGCAGCGCGAAATCCCAGTGCCTCTCTGGGGACCAGGGCATCCAAGAAACCCACAGATGGGAAGGAGGGGTCAGGGAGAAACTGTTTTTAAGACATTGCAGCCCTAAACAAATTAAACCATTTCAGAGCCTTTTTAAATGCTAATACGGCAATTTGCCAAGCGATTTATGTTCGGTTTTGACATTTGCAAAGTGAATTAGATGCAAAACCCCACTAGTTGTAGTTCTAACACTTACTAATAAGAGATTTACTCAAAAATAATGGAAATGGGGATCTCAGTATTTTCACATATCCAAAGTGCAATTACAGTAAAAACGTTCAAATACGTGTTAAAGCACTGACTTCCTGCGGAAAAAGAGAGACAGACTTCTTTAGGTTTTGTATTTCCATTTATCCTGTCAGGATGAAACGTCACAGATATATTTTAGTTATGGCTTTAGGTTAAAATGAATAAAACCACAACAAAGCAAAAATGGGAGGATACGCTTTATAACCAGAGCCTGCAAATATCTGAAATTTTCCAGTTTTGAGGAGAAAGAACTTGCTCTACCCAGAAGCACCGAATCTTTACAAAAGACCAATTTGCCTCACAATTCAAAGAATTTATTTAAAGACACTGGGAAAAATAATTACTACTTCAAATCTTAATTTGCCTAAAAGCAAACACCAAAAGTCTAATTATAGCTTCCTATAAATGAGAGAACAGACCCATCACACGTGCTTAAACAAGCGACCGCTCTCCGACCAAGCAGCACGAGGCACCCCCAAACTCCTGCACTTCGAGGAGACAGACATGCACACCAACAAAAAAAGGCAGGTTTTGCCCCAGGAAAATAAAAACTATTATCAAGAATTCAACATCTAGAAATGCAGCAAAACTCTTCCATTATGGCTAGAGAGCCAGCCCTGTCTCCCACAGATTTTCTGGCACACTCCGAAGACCTTTCGCACAGCACCAGCTCCTAAAATCCAGTGCACTCAACGATGCAATGAAGACATCCAACTTCAGCAACTCCCTGTTCTTAGCACCATATGTTTGGTCACATTTGAACTGCATCTCCAAGGGGGGGGGGCAGCTTTTATTTGGTGTTGTTTCTTTTGGGAGAAAAAGAAGAAAAAGAGGATTCTTCCCCCATCTCTGACTTTGCTATCTTACTTGTTTGACACAGGACATGCACAGTGGGTTTCAACTCCCACAAAGAGCCAGGCTGTTTCATGCTATGGCCTTAGGCCTCTATTAAAAACAATTTAATTCACACAAGCCCTTGGAGGACTGACAAAGCCCAACTGCTGCTGCTTGCGGAGCACTGGTGTGCTCCATTTTGTTCAGTGATTGCTTTGGGTTTTGCAGGAGACAACAACTCTCCCATTTTAAAATGTTCTGAATTTAACATGCTAGATGGACTGCTGCCTTGCAGAGCGCAAGAACATGAGCGTGGATCCGCTGGGGCAGAGCAATAGTCCACCTGCCTGGCTGCTGTAACAAGTGGCACTGTACAAGGAGTACAGGCAAGCCTGGCCATGCTCAGTGGTCCCTTCTGCTTGAATATCCCCAGCATCCAGAAATGCTGTTTGCAGAATATGAGTGGGAACATCCCAGTCTGTTCCCTTTAGCACCTGTTTATAGACCTATTGTCCATGAATGCATTTAATCCCTTATTAAAGCTGCTCGTACTGACCCCTCCACAACCTCCAGCGACAAAAACTTCCAGGAGTTCACTACATGCTGTGTGAAGCATTACTTTCCTTCACCCATTTTAAATGTATCCATCTCCTGCTATTTCCACCAACTGCACCCTGGCTGTAGGAGCTGGCAAACAACAGCTCTGTGTTCAGAGCTGCCTTCCTGATAATGAACTTTGGTCCCACCTTCCTCTCCTAACAGAGCAGCCCCAGGCTTTCCAGTCGCTCCTCGTAAGGCAGCTGCTCCCTCCCCTTCATGGCTTGGGTTGCCCTTCTCCAGATGTCCCCTAACTTGACCGTGCCCTTGAGATGCACAGATCAGAACTGCACACAGCGCTGTTGATGCGGGTGCACCAACACTTTATATAACAGCAAAATGACGTAAAAGAAATCTCTTGTTCTTAACACCCTTCCTTATGATACCCAACGATGCTGGCTTCTCCGGCTGCCCCCGTGCTACAAGCCGATGATTTCAGCTGTCAGCTGCAACTCAGATCTTTCTCAAGCTGCAACTGCCAGGTCAGAGCATCATGATGTTTCAGGGAAAGACAGCAGCAGAGGGGCCTGAACGGGAAAGCAGTTTGTGACTGACAGTGCTTTCAGATCAGCTTCAACCAATTTTGAAATGCAGTGAGGTACTGACACCCTCGCACACTTGTTTTGGAAGTGCACCAGTCTGCGCACATGCTGCCTTGGGAGAAAACAAGTGATAGTGTGCCTATTCAGAAAGGCAAATTTTACCCCTGAGAAGGGTCTTCTCCAAGATCTGGGCATCCCCAGCCACATCACAGCCTTTCTGCAAGGGAAATAATATTTAACACAAACAGCAGAAGCTGCTCAGCACCTGTCTCCTTCCCCAGCCCCACACTTGAGACCTACGTGCAATTTTTCTTTTAGCAGCAAACTTCGTTCTATCCAGCTGCTGTTTTGTTCTCTTCTTTTGCAATCCACTCTCCTCCTTTGACTCCTGCTGTAATGGAAAAAAATACGGTGAGTACATACAATATTCAAGAAATACTACCAGCCCCCCCCCCCCCCCCCTCAGACACAAACACTGGTTCAAGAACAAGCCTCTATTTGTGTGAAATTTGAATTTCAAACATAATTCAATCACATTCTGTAACTATTAAAAGCTGTGTGATAAGCATAATGAGCAAAAAGAGTTACAGACTGACATAAACAGAGAAGTAGGAGAGACAATAGACTTCATGCCAGTCACCACCATACACTGCACCTGCTGCCCATGCTTTTAGAGAGAATTTGTTTGGCCTTGCTAAAACATCAGTATTTGTAAGCACTCAAAACAGAAAAACAAAACCTTTTCATAACTGAACATTGCTCACCTGTAAGCCAGGACTGTTTCCTGTCGTGCAGCTTCTAGTACTCTGCCCAGACAATTTCAGGTGACCAAAACTAGAATCCTAGCCATTTTGGGGGACCCATGCAAATGCACCCCAAAGGCAGGAGAGTCAGATGTATTTATTCCTTGTGTATTCTCTCACTGCATTGCCGCAAGTGTTTCATTTTTGAAGCTTGAATACTTCAGAAATTTGCTGTCTTGAGGCCTCCCGGAATAACGCCCACAAGAACAACCTAAGTGCATGTTGCTTTAAGCACATGGACTGCAACAAGAATGGTCACAGGCTTAATTGGCACACATTTATGCAAGTTGCTGTCCTAACAGCTTAAGCAAGGGCATACACATTACCGAAGGCTGGCACTGGACCCCTTCCAATTTGTCTCTCTAAATCAGGTAGGATTAGAATCAAACCCAGTGTTTCAGGCAGAGACCCACGCCTGGCCAGGACAGGGCTTCACACAGCTCCGTCTGCAGCTGCAGTTGTTTTTGCTGTCCATGAGACTCATGGCTAACTGGCTACATGCTTGTGCCTCATACCACCTCCTGTGCCAGGAGCGGGGCTTCGAGGTGGGGCATGTGGCTTGGGCTAGTTTAATGCAAATGGATACACAGCTTATTTTCAAGTGTAATCAATTTCTGCT